AAAAWTATCTCTGGCCAAAACCATTTWTAAAGGCTGGTAGTGGCAAATGTCTGCTTGTAACAGACCTAGTTAAGCGACCATTTCCAATATTTGGTTTGGGCATCAGAGCAAAAAAAAGTTACATACGGTAATTGGCACCATGAAAAATCTGAAAATACGMATAATTTAATGCCACTGTTCAAAACATAATTCTGAAACGTTAAAGCATTTGACAAAGAAYGAGCTGTACAGTGATGAGTCCAACCAGGATGTTTGTTGTGYATTTTGTAGGCCTTGTTGTAGAGCCTAGCTAAGGTTTCATTAGTAGAAAAGACCAAACAGGTAAACAGTACAACATYGTTGAAWGTAAAATGGCATGAAGATAAGTGTTWGAAACAGAAGATGTCAGATTYGATCTAATTTTAAAATAAACATACATCTTTTGTTTCAGCTTAGTAGATAAAGCTTGCACATGATCCCAATAAGTCAAATGAGCATCAAAGATAATGTTCTTTGTTTGTTGGTTTCTCACTAAAATCAMAAAACTAGCTGCCCCATGCTCAACTGTACTTCTTTAAAAAAAAAAACAGCAGCTATTTTTTTCACCACATTCATTGGACCACTGTGTTAAAATAAGCATAGTCTGCTCACTGGTGCTTACTTGGGAAGCATGCAGTATCCTCCTATCACATAATATGTCTCTCYATCCCCTACCAGACAACAGATTGCCATTTTAAGGTTGGTCACCTGCTGCCTGAATCAGATGCTAAACTTGGCTTGGATACCCACTAAAACAATCCTCCACATATCTGTGACTATCTCCATTCTAAAGAGCGAGGTCCCAGTATCCTGCTCTGAGGGCTGGACAAAGTTTGAGGATGAGTCGCATTTGGAGGTTTGGTGTGACTCACTGTGTGCTGGTGATTCACAGTATGGACACAAAACCTTAGAACTTAAACTCTATTGGGGTGCAATAGTTTTGCCATAGATTTTTGCTTAAGAATATTTGTTCAARTAAGTACTAACGCTATGCTAAGTACTAGTATCTGTACGTAATACCAAGCCAATTGTGGTCCATCATGCTGAAAAAACAGTCTTAGTGATATCACTGAATTGGCCCTAGGACTGGCTTTTGTCCCATATTATCTGAATCATCTTTATGTGTTTATGTTTTACTAAAGTTCTCCCTCCATCTTTGAGTTGTATCTTTTTGTGTGAGCTTCATTGGATATATGCACAACTATCTGCYACTTTGTGTTCTTCAACCTTGTTGCATTTCATGTGTTTACATGTGGGTCAGTTTTGTGTTTAGGCCCCTTTCTGCTGTTTAATTACTTGTCATAGAAATATTAAGACTAAATTAATGTATGCACACTTTGCACWTATTGGTAAAATCCCTTGAACCATTCATTAGGAATTTAACCAATAAACCTGCTTTAACCACAATCAAACTTTACGGCACTAATGGCTAACGGGTAGATGGGAACCAGTCAGACCAGATTCATTCCCATCAAGATAYCACCTTAATTCAATTGCTGGAAATCAAACAGCGTTCTAGAAAGGATCAGTAGTCTTGTTGGAGATGTTTATCATGCTTTAATCCAATCAGTAAGGTCTGAGAGCTCCACTGTCTTTTGTCCTTTTTTCCTGCTGTCCTGGTTATTTCTGCAGTTTAATTCTTGTCCAGACTGGATTTGGATCCTAAAAGGATTCCTCAACATTAATCACTTTTTTTACGCTACATAATATTGGAAGTTTTTTATGCAGACATATTGGTTGATTTTAACCTATTAGTTTATCAATGCATTTCAAAGGTTGAATAATGTAATCATTCATATTTGTACAGTTGATATTTGGTAGCAGGGTAGTTTCTTGTTGTTTGGGATGATCTGGCAAAAAAAATTAGGTTCTTGTGTGTTTTTACATTTTTTATGTTTTTTCCCTTACTCTGTCTTACGCTATCTCTCATATGGATGGTTTACCTCCTTTCTTTGTGTCCCATTCTGTGTCTTTCTCCCACCTGTTGTCATTGGTCTGCTCCCTTCCTTTTTCTTGCTGTCTTTCACTTGTTTCTCATCTCTTCGTTTGGATCCCCAACAGCGGCGGCGGGTAAATTTCTCTGTCCTTCCTTGTCTCGCTCCTCCTGACTTCCTTCTGCACTCTTAGCATCTGGTCTTCTGATCACTGTCCCTGTTTCCTTTTCATAAATTTACCGTAWCATCTAACATTTGTACATATCCATTGTTCACCATGGAACTCCTCTGCTTTAACCAACTAAACCTCATATTAACCTGCATAATATCGCAGCTGAATAAATGATATTCTCTGCTGATGGAACGTCTACCACAACATATTGTGAGTAATGTAAATGCTYACAGAAAATTATTCAAAGGAATGTTATTTTAAAAGTTACCCTAAAAAGATTGGGAATGGGACAAYTAACTGAATGCATTTCACAGATTCTACTATACAGTATGTACACATGCACACCGAATCCCACACTTGTATGTCACCACCAGCAGCCTACCATCTGCTGTGACAGCTGGAGGAACCAGGCAGCTGTGAACCCGGCTGCTGTCTCCTGAAAGGACCATTTTAGCCACCTTTAAACCTAATCTCTTCACCCTGATACACTTGGTGTGAAAAATAAATAGAAAATAAGGGCGTTATAATTGCCGTAAAGAGTCCTAGTCTGTGCCATGAACTTCACCTGAGATTTAAATAACTAGACCATACTGTGCAATGAATGCTGTATGCTGGTGCGGATATTCAGTCATCCAGAAGATTGCAGATTTTTGTGTTTGGGGATTATAAAAGCTACTCTTTTAAATTTTAAGTAAATTTACATGTSATTTTTAAGTGTTTATTATAAAAAGGTCTGATTCATTCATTTAAAAGTGTCATTGTGTAACTAATTATAAAAAGTAGACTTGGGATTTTCACCTCATATTAAGGCTTGACTGGCAGCTGATCAAAAAATGCTGCCTTCAATCTTTTTGTCTTGGCTAAAAAAATATTCCATGTTGTTTGAACAATGCGGCAAAGCAGCTAATCCTAGCTATACTTTAGAGCTTCTAGAGATGTTGACTCATATAAAGAGAGGGTTTGGCTGTTGCTTAAAATGTTTACCTCCTTGAGAAACAGTGATATCACAAAAGTGTGACTCACAAAAGAAAATAAACTTTGTTGTAAGTGATTTATGTGCAAGAGGGCAGGTTTTTTTGATAGCCACAGACGTTACAGCCAAAACKCTCTCTGAAAGTCTCATCACTCAGACTGCTGCTAAAAAGAAGAAATATTGCAGCATGGAAAGCAAGGTTTCAATGCAGCATGAATATATTTCACCATTGGCTGGGCATGCTCAAGCCGAGGCTTTAGCCACATGTGGAAAGCATTGAAATATATTGCAAAATGTTTTAACAAATACAGTTACAAGACAGAGAATTGTTAGGAACTTCTGTATGTCAGCATGTTTAAAGTCCCATATAACTTTAGCATGTAGCTACAGTGCTAATGTCACARTGAGAAATAAGGCTGACGTGTAATATGATAGCAACGCTGCATGTGTTGCTATGTATTTAACTCAGACGCAGTTACTCACTTCGAGTTAACTCGGACCCTCAAGAAATGGCTGCCCACGGCCATTTTMGTATCAAAAAGATTAAGGTTGCTGTACACATTTGAAGTTGCAGAATGTTGAATTTATGTGTATATTGTTTGTGTGTGTACATGCTCACGTGTAGGGGGAGCAGTAAGGGAAAAGACATCAGTACTATCAAGTCCTTGAGGGTTCTGCGAGTGCTACGTCCTTTGAAGACTATTAAACGTCTTCCCAAACTAAAGGTATGCTCACCCTAAGAGGTGTTTCTCCTCTGGGTTGACTAAACATTTCAGGTGAGAGGTTTGTCAGGAGCTAACAAATAAGGTATTTTTTTCTGTAACCATTTTTTTCTTCTGTTTTTGTCTTTTGTCCATCCTCAGGCCGTGTTTGACTGTGTGGTGAACTCTCTAAAGAATGTGCTCAACATCCTGATCGTCTACCTACTCTTCATGTTCATTTTTGCGGTGGTGGCTGTGCAGCTTTTCAAGGGGCGCTTTTTTTACTGCACTGATGAGTCCAAAGAGTTTGAGCGTGACTGCAGGTCAGGAGGGGCAAGTTATAATCATGTGTCCTGAAACGTTGTGCTCTTTAGTATAACATTTAATTTGATCTCTCTTTATGCATTCTGATTGCATTGGTTTTTTTTAATAATGCTTATTTTCAATAAATATCTAACAAATYTATGAGAACCATCTTCTGAAATCTATGATTTTTCAGAGGCGAGTATRTGGTGTACGAGCGTGATAACGAAGTGAGGGCGCAGAAGCGGGAGTGGAAGAAATACGATTTCCACTATGATAATGTGGCTTGGGCCCTTCTCACCCTCTTCACTGTTTCCACTGGAGAGGGGTGGCCGCAGTGAGTTTAAAATAACAAGCACAGTTTTCTACGTTTGTACTTCCTGGCATCCTGTAACCATCTTATGTCCCCGTCTCCACTCCTGCAGGGTGCTAAAACATTCAGTAGATGCGACCTATGAGAATCAGGGCCCAAGCCCGGGATACAGGATGGAGATGTCCATCTTTTACGTGGTGTACTTCGTGGTCTTCCCCTTCTTCTTCGTCAACATTTTCGTCGCTCTCATTATCATCACCTTCCAAGAACAGGGTGACAAGATGATGGAGGATTACAGTTTAGAAAAGAATGAGGTACAGAACATTACAAAAACAAGATATAAAAGTTGTAAGAAAACAAACAAAAAAATCAGACTGTGTTCATTTTTGTTSTGTTTTTGGACAGAGAGCTTGTATAGACTTTGCCATCAATGCCAGGCCTCTGACACGTCACATGCCTCAAAACAAGCTGAGCTTTCAGTACCGAATGTGGGAGTTTGTGGTGTCACCGCCTTTTGAATATACCATCATGGCTATGATTGCACTCAACACCATAGTGCTGATGATGAAGGTAAGAATTTACAAGCTACAAACATTAAAATAACTTTCAGTTACCTGTTGACACCTGGCAATAGCATGCACCGTGGCTAATCTGATAAAAGGTGGACAGCTTTAAGTACAGTATATGGTTTCACACTGGGTAGTAAATACAGTACCTTCTGAGTGATTCATTGTGATCAGATGATAAGRAAATAAACTCTTTATCCATTTTTGACAAAATGCTTTCAAACCATGCCTGAGTCTCTGCTGAGTGGTACAGGAGGTTTGAAGTCAACCAGCCATTGTATGAAAGGTGACATATACAGAATCTACTTTTTGAGCCTTGCAGTTGGATAGCCCAGGATGCATGGTAGGGCCAGGTCTGAAAAGGCTTTAAATTTCCTTGTGTTTCTTTGACTGATTTTGCTTTACCGTTATGTAAAAAACAAAACAAAACAAAAAAACATAGTATCAAAGCAAACTAATTTCAATGTTGCTGTTTCAAAATTAATTGATATTAAATATAATGAGCTGAAATATTTACTGTTATATTCCTTTTTGTCCCTGACGGTGCCCATTTCTCTGTGTTTATGGCATAAATAAATGTGCTCCCTGTGTGTGTGTGCGTTTGTTTATAGTATGATGAAGCTTCTCCCACCTACGAAGCTGTGTTAGCCAACCTGAACATAGTGTTTACCTCCCTCTTCTTCTTGGAGTGTGTACTCAAGATCATTGCCTTTGGATTTCTGGTGAGCGGAGTTATTCTGTGTGGGCTAGTGTTTTGTCAGAATGAACTGCTCTACTGTAACTTTGGAGAACGGCTGAATAATAATCAGATACAGTGAGCATATTTTTAATCATCTTTATGCACTGGAGTTYCCAAACTGTATATAATGGGAACACTTTTTACAGCYTTTGCAAARAATTAAGATATGAACACACTTGAAATACATTTTGAACGTCTAAAATTTGTGTCATCTTTGGGGAAAATCCACCRATTTCCTAAGGACAACAGTTCAATTTTCTATTATGTGGTAACAGTCCCAAAGGGATATCTCAAATATTTTGAATTGAGGTTCTGTGGAAAGACTGAGAACAGATAATATTCTGCCTATTAGCTCTGTGAGTTGTCTAATCTTAGAGAAATAGGGTTTAATAACAACTAACAGCTAGTTTGAATGTGTTTAAGCTYCACTAAGTCAGAAAGCAGAATGACTGAAAATGAAAATAGTATTATAAGAAAAAACAATTAGCCAATATCCAAGTTCAAATCCTAAAACCTCCTTTTTTATTTGAAAAAAGTAGAGACCGTTGTTTTGGTAAAAAAAAAAAGGGGGGGGGGGTAAAGATTCAACAAATACAGAAGAAAACTGTAGATGATAGAGCTGTAAACTGTGTGTTCAGTAGAGGAGAGTAACTGCCAGAAATGAATGAAGTATCTTTGTGATTTGAATGTGGGAGGAGATCAAGGACAGGGGGAACAGTAAGGAACTTATTAGAGGAATTGGGTTGAATGACATGTTTACAGCAAAAAATACAATCAAGGATTACGCAGAGGGCGGCGATTAGGTTTTGAATCATGGAGAGAGTGCTCAAAAAAATCTGCAACAAATAATATTGTCCTTCAGGAATGTCTGAGTGTGTGTCTTTTTTTCTTTTTAGATAGCCACCTCTCTTGCGCCCATCTCGTGCCTCCACATGTCTAATGCACAGTTTGGCTCCAGGCAGTATGTTGGAAAGCAAAAGGAGGGCTTGTTTATCAGCATTTTGTCCTTACAATCCCACAGTCTTTCACTTCAAGTTGCTGTTATTTATTACAAATCACACATGGCAAAACTAGATCAGGCTTTTAGACCTGTAWGTTGTAAAGACATGATAAATAGAGGTAGGTAGAGAGAGTGTTATAGAATAATGCATACGGTGTGTAAGGTATTGTTGGCTGGTTTGATTGTCTGATGCAGCAGAATTTGTCCTTAGTCTGTCTGCTGGCATCCATCCAACAGACCATCACTGATGGTCCATTTGTCTCATCTAATTTCTTCCTGTTCCTACCTGATTCTGACATGTCTTTTTTCACTTTCCTCTCTCTCTCTTTTTCTCTTTCTGATGCTCATTTTTGTGTTACTCCTCGTATTTTTCTACTACTTTACCCTTTTATTTTTGGCCTTTTTCTGTTTCATTTTAACTTCATTCATGCTGTATTTTTTTCTCTTATATCAATATGATTTATCTTTTCAATCTTACTGCACTGTCCTGTTTTTCTCTGCCACATTCATGTACTTCTGATTTTTTTTCCACTTTGTTACATTTCACCTTATTTCCCCCATTTTTATTTTTTTTCTTCTCCATCGTTCTCTTGCCATTCTCTGGTTCTGTCTTGTCTTGTTTGTTTCTTTGTTTTTTGTGTGATTTTTGATTTTTTTTTTTTTGCCTTTTTCATGTGATCACAGAATTATTTCAAAGATGCCTGGAATATTTTTGACTTTGTGACAGTTCTGGGCAGCGTCACTGACATCCTGGTTACGGAGCTTGGGGTGAGTAGCACAGTTTTAGCAATTTCTAACTATTTTATTTGTTTACTTTTGTATGATTTCAACAGAAGACCATCAAAAGGTGTAAACAGATTAATAA